TGTCTTCTTGTTCCAATGTTTTCCGAATCAGTCGCCCAACTTTTTCCCTGACTTGGCTAAAAATGATTGCGGATCCAATCAGTTAGCCACAACCTTATTCGGCATCGGAGAACATTTCCTGGAAAAGGAACAATTGGTTTCAGAGATAACACAGCTGCACAGCACTTAACAGCTTTTATTATCGACTGAAGTCATGTGCCACTGAATGGTCAAAGATCTCCGTCTGATTACTTATCAGTTTCAGCGGACTTTCTGTCCCCACTTAATGAAACCCAAACAAGTCGAGACGAAATGCTTACTGCCTATCCATGGTGTACCTTCATCTGCTGCCTTCTTTTTGCATTTAGGTGTACAAATGAAATATCCAATTTATTATTCCTTGACAGCTCCAGCAATACCGCTGCGGCTCAGGCGTTTGCCGTTGCTACCGCCGGCAGTGCTTGCCCCTTGGCAGCAGCAGGCATCATGGGGCTTGGCCCAAACCTGAATCGAGCAGCTCTCCGGTTTTCGGCTGGTACGGCATCTGCGGCTGCAGCAAATATAGGATATAAAACAGTGGCTTGCACACTGCCAAGCACTTCTGCAGTCACATCGACCTTGGGCGGATCAACTACGGTTACCACCTTGTCAAGTCTTTCCAACATATCACCCGGTTCATTCCAGTTCAACGGACGTGCCAGTGCAGCCGGACAGAACAATGCGGCGTCCATCAACGGAACGTCAAACAACTTAACTCAGGCACCTCAGAACAATATAGACCAGCAAACTAGACGTTCCATGATGATGGCGACGGCTTCTTGTCTACGTGTGCTCAATGTCGTGCGTCACTGGATTACCAAATTTCCCGATGTACGTAGCCAATTCTAGTGTGCCCGAGAATGCCTCTTAACTTTAACTACTCACTGTTTAGCTAGTGGTATGATTTTTCCAAAAACATTCACTCTGCACATGCTGTGGTGCACCATGGAGAACGGTCCAGATAGCCTAAAGTCTGCAGACGATTCGAGAAATCAGAAGGTACCTGCCATCACTGAAAAACGAAAAGACGCCAGAAAATGGCCTTAGTGATCTTCATGAATGACATCAAATTAGGTGATATGCTCCTGGAATGTAAGGATTGCTAGAATGAAATAGCACTGCGGGTGGCAACGTGTTGACATTATGCCTATTCTAGTGAAAGGAAGGAAACCTTCGC